TAAAGTGGTGCTTCAGGTTAAGAACAGTTTCAGGTTAAGAACAGACCTCCGGAACGAATTAAGTACTTAACCCGAAGTACCACTTTATGATGCACAATTTTAATCAATGTGTGCCTCTTTCCAACGTGTGTATGGAGGCCAAGTGATGCTAGACACCAGGGCCGCGGACTTATAAAAAATATTGGGGGGGCCCGGGAAAGCTCATGAATAATAAATAAGCTCATGAATATGCAAATAAAGTGGCGCCGCCTCCTCGTGAGCGAATAGGGGAGAGCGTGCTGCGCCTATTAATCAGCTCCAAAGGAAATTGGGTGGAGCTTTTGCTCGGGAGGGAGGGCAGGAGGCATGCAGCCCGCCCCTCCCTGTGCATTTTGGGCTGGGGGAGGGGCGGCGATGGCGCTCTGCTGGAGGGGCGCCGGAGATTATTGGGGGGGCGGAGCCCCCCCAAACGAATTTTTGAGGGGGCTCGGGCCCCCTCAAGCCCCATGGAGTCGGCGCCTATGCTAGACACACAAAGCACCAATCTGCTAGGCCACAGTCACTCCACATATCCAAAGCCCCATGAAACCCCCTAAGATTTCTGGGAGCTTGTTTTGCTGGTTAAGGGTGCTGAGAGTTGTGACAATAAACTATTCTAGCTGGGAGCAAAATCTGTAGTGGCGGGGGGGGGGGGAATACTGGCTCTTCAAGGGTTAAAGGCAGCGATTATATTAATACAGAGGACTTCCTGGGGGGAGGGGAAAAGCGTCACTTCCTCCTCCGTTTGTCACATTTGACAAGCTGCGAGGGAGGAGATTTTGCAGCGCGGAAGACGGTGCCTTTTGCAAGGTAGGAAAAATAGGGATATATTGGGGGGGGGGAGGGGGCTCCGGAGCCAGAGCAGCTCCTTTGCAGGAGAGAAGCCCTCCAGGAGAGGGCAGTTTTGCAAAGGGGCAGGGGTGGGAGGGCGCATGCGTGGGGTTGCCCCCCCAATTCAGCCCCCCAAGAGCTGCGATGAGTGCAAAAGGCTTTAAGGGGTGCAGGGGCGCCCCAGGAGGAGAGCACGGCCAGAAGGCAGGTGGGCGAGGAAACCCCCCCAAAAGGAAAGGAGGCAGGATGGCTCTGGGAAGAGGAGGAGGGAGACATTCATGTTTTGGGAAAAGGGGGGGGAGGGCAGGGTCAGCTGGAAACTCATTTCAGCTCTACAAAGACATGGGCTCTTTTATCTTCGATGCCTTCCCTGTCTGGGGGGGTTCAGGAGGAAAGCCCCCAAGGAGGGCGCAGTCTCTCTGTATAGCAGACCAGCCCTAGGAAGGTACCAAGGTGTTGGGAGAGATGGAGGAGGGAAGACTTTAAGGGTGGGAAGAGGAGAACCACTGGCCCTAAAATGCCATTAGTTTCTCACCACCAGCCACTGCTGCAGCAGAACTGGGGGCTCCAAGCACAGTGAGCTGCCTACACATAGCCTTGCTCCACCTGGGCTACTATTGTCGACACGGACCGGCAGCAATTGCTCTTCCAGGTTTTCAGACGCGGAGTCTCAGCCCTGCCTGGGGACTGCATCTGGGGCTTCCTGCCTGAGGAGGAGATGCTCTGCCCTCGAACTACAGCCCCTTCCCCTAAAGTGCGGTTGCAGGACAAGGAGGAACAGAGGGAGGCAGCCGTGTCGTCACAGCTCCAGACTGGCAAAAAAGGGAAGGGATGTTTTTAATGGTGGTGGGAAGAAGATCTTATTTCAGGCATCGCTCCACTTTTCATGCATGGCTTCACCTTCACCAGGAAAATGTCTTGGGCAGGAAACTGACTGCAGGGCCTCTGAGGCTCTCTTTGCTTCTTCAGGAACTTCTGAGCTCTTCAATCCAGGCGAGGATAGAAGGAGGAAGATGGACGGTTGACCTGGACAGACTGTCTCCTGCCTCCCTCCAAACAACCTCTGAGCGTTGTCCTCCAGGACCCTCAGAGACATCTCGTGAGTTCCTAGGAAGTGGAGATAGGGACTTGGGGGGATGGAGAGTGGAAGCAGGGAATAAGATAAAGGGGGGAGATTTTACTGTGGAAACTGTGGGTGGGCCCCCGATATATTGGGAGGCTTCCCCTCCGGCAGGAAAATCCCTGGAGGGGCTCTGAGGCCGCCTTTGCTTCTCCGTCACCCCCCAAAACCTGCAGCTTGTTTAAACTTCTTAGTCCTGCAAAATAGTTCCAAAGAAGCTGGATTTGTGGTCCTAGGAAGGACTTGAGCTGGGGCTCCCCACCTCTGAGGCTGGGAGAGGTTGGCTGAGTTTCAGGGAGTGGGGGTGGAGAAGGAGAAATGGATGGGTGGGGGCTGGAGGGAACCCCTCCCTCCAGCAAGCAGAAAAGACAGGAGAACATACAATGCAAGAAGGTCTTGACTTGGAGGAAGGCAGGGAAGAGGTCTTCTCCAAAGTCTCTCACCTGGAGCATGCACCAATATGTTGCCAGAAGAGGAGGAATAGGCAGAGGAGCCCTATATAGATATAAAAACCACTGCGTTCAATGGGAACCACTTTCAGGTCACTCCTGTGCCCCCCATGCCATGAGGCCTGGGTGCGAGGACCATTCCACCTGGCCAAGGGGGTGGAGCCCAGGCTCACCTTGAACAGCCAAAAGAGGCTCCTGGGAGGCCACTGGGACATTGCTAGAAGAACTCTTGGGTTGGGGCAACTGGCTAAAATGCTTTAAACGTTTCTGATTTTGGTTCCTCTGTTTTGTTTTTGTTGGGTTGTTGTTGGTTAATTGTTTAGTTTGGGTCGGTGGTTATTTTAATTTGGGTATAGCTGTAAACATGTTGTTATTATTGTTGCTATTCTTATTATTGGTTTGTTTGTTGCCTGTATAGGATATTTCTGTTTTTATGTTTGATGTTTTGGTCTGTTCATATATATGCTGTTAGCCACACTGGGTGGCTGGGGAAACCCAACCAGATGGCAGGGAAATAAATTTTACATATATGCCCCATTTGGGCTTCTGCAGAGGCTGGAGAATATCTAGGGCAGAGGAATCCCTGCAGCTTCTCTGAGGCTCCATTTACTCCTCCCTCCCTCCCTCCCAAGGAACCTGCAGCTTCTTTAGGCTTCTGAGCTCCTCAGGAAGGAGGAAAGAGGCTGATCCTCTTTCACCCTATTTCTGCTAACAACCCCTTGAAGATCCTGGGCCTCAGGGAATTTAGGTTAGCTTTGTCTAGAGCCAGGGCCTTTTCAGCCGTGGCCCCGGCCTGGTGGACCGCTCTCCCACAAGAGACCAGGGCCCTGCAGGATTGGACATCTTTCCGCAGGGCCTGCAAGACGGAGCTGTTCCGCCAGGCCTTTGGGCAGGATGCAGTTTGACTTACTTTCCTTTGTATAAAACAAGCCCGAAGGAGGCCCCCAACCTGCTCACAGGTCCTTGTATGATCAGTGGAAACAGTTGGTCCTGGCAAGTATTAACCTCAATTCCAACCTGATAATTGCCAACTGCTTAGATTTTAACTTGTCTGAATTAATTTTAAGATGTATTTTAATTAATTGATGTCTGTTTTTATGCATATTGTGTTGTTTTTATGATGCTAGCCACTCTGGGCCCTGCCTCGGCCGGAGAAGGCAGGATACAAAAATTATTATTGTTGTTGTTGTTGTTGTTGTTATTATTATTATTATTATTATTATTATTATTATTCTCCTGCAGACCTAGCAAGGATGGACGGGGGAAGATGGACAGTTGACCTGGTCAGGCTGTCTCCCACCACCTCTGACTGTTCTCTCCCAGGACCCTCAGAGAGATCTGGTGAGTCTCAGGGAATGGAGATGGGGACCTGGGGAAATGTTGGGGTTGAGGAAGCCCACCTGGCAAGAAAACGAGGAAGGCTGCAGGGCCAGAGCTCCGGGCTAGCAGAGATAAAAGTTAGAAAGAAAGGACATGAATGTTTTTTAATGGTGACATGGGCATAGTCAGAGTTTTGGGGCTGTTGTCTACCAGCTCCATCACAGGCTAAGTCCCTACCTGCACACAGACTGTGATACATGCTATGGTTATCTCCCGCTTGGATCGCTACAATGCGCTCTAGGTGGGGCTGCCTTTGAAGGTGACTCGGAAACTACAATTAACCCAGAAAGCAGCAGCTCAACTGGTGACTGGGAGCAGTTGCCAGGAGCATATAACACTGGTCTTAAAGGATCCACATTGGCTCAGAGTATGTTTCCAAGCACAATTCAAAGTGTTGGTGCTGACCTTTAAAGCTCTAAACGGCCTCGGCCCTGTAGACCTGAATGAGCATCTCCACCTCCTTTGTTCTGCCCGGACAATGAGGTCCAACTCTGAGGGTCTTCTGCTGGTTTCGTCACAGTAAGAAGTGAAGTAGTGGAACCAGCCCTGTGGAACACCCTCCCTTCAGATGTCAAGGAGATAAAGAACTACGTAGCTTTTAGAAGACGTCCGAAGGCAGCCCTGTATTGGGAAGTTTTTAATGTTTGCTGTTTTCCCTTAATTTTAGCAGGTGATGACCAGGACAATAATGGTTCTCGGGGCTCATCAGAAAGAAATAAGCATGAAGTGAAGAGAACAAATGATAGCCCTTCGTGTGGCAAAACGTTCAAAGGTAAATCGAGCCTCAGCCCACACTGCAGAATCCACTCAGAGGAGACACTGTGTAAATGCTTGGTGTGTGGAAAGAGCTTCAGTGACAGCTCAGGCCTAAAATCACATCAAAGAATTCACGCAGGACAGGAATCATACCAATGCCTAGAATGTGGAAAGAGTTTCAAGCGCCACTCAAACCTTACAACACATCAGGTAGTCCACAGCAGGGAGAAACCACATAGGTGCTCTGAGTGTGGAAAGAGCTTCAGTTGCAGGAGAAACCTTACAGAACATCAAAAACTTCACACAGGGGAGAAACCGTATACCTGTTTGGACTGTGGAAAGACCTTCCGTCACAGCTCAAGCCTTGCTTCGCATCAAAAAACCCACACAGGGGAGAAGGCGTATAAATGTTTGGAGTGTGAAATGAGCTTCACTCACAGCTCAAGTCTTATATCGCACCAAAGAATTCACACAGGAGAGAAATCTTATAAATGTTCGGAGTGTGGAAGGAGCTTTGCTCACAGTGCTAGCCTTACTTCACATAAGAGAACCCACACAGGGGACAAACCATATAAATGCTTGGAATGTGGAAAGAACTTCAGTCAGAGTTCACACCTTAGTTCACACAAGAGAACTCACACTGGTGAGAAGCCGTATAAATGCTTTGAGTGTGGGAAGAGCTTCAGTCAGAGTTCACACCTTACTGTGCATGAGCGAATCCATACAGGGGAAAAACCATATAAATGTGTGACATGTGGAAAGAGCTTTAGTACCTGCACATACCTTGTTTGCCATCGCAGAATCCATACAGGAGAGAAGCCATATAAGTGCTTTGAGTGTGGAAAGAGCTTCAGCCAGGTTACAAGCCTTCATATACATCAAAAAATTCACAGAGGTGAAAAACCGTATGCATGTTTTGAGTGTGGAAAGAGCTTCACTCAAAGCTCAAGCCTTAAATATCATCAAAGAATTCACACAGGGGAGAAACCATATTCCTGTTTTGAGTGTGGAAAGAACTTCAGTCACAGCACAAGCCTTACATCGCACCAAAGAACTCACACAGGGGAGAAACCATATAAATGTTTGGAGTGTGGAAAGAGATTTGCACATGGATCTACGCTTACTTCTCATAAAAGAACTCACATGGGATAAACCATATATATACTTGGAATGTGGGAAAAGATTTGGTCAGATTTCACTACTCATTTTGCATAAGTGAATCAAGATGGGGAAAATATTTCGATTCTTGTAATGAGGAAAGCACTTTAAGTGGAGCACCGCTAATTTGCAAGAAATAGGTTTGTTGGATTGGGAGGGATATAATAACCGTTGGGCTTGGCACGCTTATTGAATTTATGGAAAGGCAAAAATACACAGATTTCTCAAATCATATTATAAGGAGATCACTTCTTAAAGTTTGGGAGAAATACAAAGATTGGTTGGAGCCTAAAATCCCATGGTGGGACTCTCCAGCAGAGGCCACAGTGTTGAAGAAAAAAAATACGTTGTGAAATTGGCCTACTTATAAAATAATTTTAAAAGAAGATAACCAACTGAAAGTTAAAGGTTTTGAGGAATTAAGAGATATTATGACAGATTGGTTCCAATATTATCCAATATTCAAAAAATTTAAAGTAGAAAAAAAGAGTTTGCCAAGGAAACCTCAAGATTTGAATCCAACGTAATACACTCAAAAAGTAAAACTCTCTCTAAAGCTTATCGCCTCCTCCTCCACTGGGAAGTCGAGGAGGAATAAGTTCTTTCCAGACAGGAGTAGATTCAAAAATTGACTGAATATGCTGAATTAGATAGCTTATCAGGAAAAAATAAACCAAGAGCTGAATTTGTATCAAAATGGGAGGCCTTTAGAATATATATTAATGATATATATTTAATGATAATGAGATTTTTTTTATTGTAACATGAAATTGCAATCTCAAATTTATGTATTACTCTTTATCTTAATAATAACAATAGTGTAAGTTTTCTTTCACTTCTTTCATTTAAATCCACGTAAATACAGAGATTACAATTACTTCCTGGCCTTCCGACTCTTCCTGCATCTGTATTTTATGTAAGGAGTAAAAATACATCTAAACCTAAACTTTAGGAAGAAATTTCTGACTGCAAGTGAGATGAGCTACCTTGGAAGGTGGTGAACTCTCCATTTTTTTAGGTTTTTCAGCAGAGGTCGGGTTGTTTTTCCTGCATTGCAGGGGGTTGGACTAGATCAGGGATTGTCGATCTGGTCCCTACCGCACACTAGTGGGCATTTCAGGATTCTAATTAGGCGGTAGGGGGTTCTACGGCACAAGCTGAATCCTCCTTCCATTAAGTCCTGGTGGGCGGTAAGGAAATTGTACCATTAAGAAAGATGCATTAGAGGGCAGTAGGTATAAAAAGGCTGACTACCCCTGGACTGGGACGCGGTTGGTGCTGTGGTCTAATCCACAGAACCTAGGGCTTTCCTATCAGAAGGTTGGCGGTTTGAATCCCGTGACGGGGTGAGCTGCCGTTGCTCGGTCCCTGCTCCTGCCAACCTAGTAGTTCGAAAGCACATCAAAGTGCAAGTAGATAAATAGGTCCTGCTCTGGCGGGAAGGTAAACGGCGTTTCCATGCACTGCTCTGGTTCGCCAGAAGCGGCTTAGTCACGCTGGCCACATGACCCGGAAGCTGTACGCTGGCTCCCTTGGCCAGTAAAGCGAGATGAGCGCCGCAGCCCCAGAGTCATCCGCAACTAGACTTAACGGCCAGGGGTCCCTTTACCTTTACCCCAGGACTAGATGTTTCTTATGGTCCCTTCCAACACTACATTTGTATTATTCTTTGACCTTGAGTTTCCGGTTCTGGTCTTGCACCATGGCGGCAGCTCCCTCGACATTGGAGGGAGGCACAAATGAAGGGGTAGGGAACGGAAGGGTTTAAGCATTCCTGGAAACCTCCTGGGGTATGAGGGAGCAGACTGACTCGCAGTCGCCTCAACGGCTCACTCACATGCAGATCAGCATGGGGGCAGATGGAGGAGTTGGGTCATCACCTTTGCCATGATGCAAGCCCCTCGGACCGCCATCAAAAGCGGAGGTTCTCCTTATAACTGGATTTTATTGGCTGTGCACTGGAGGAGATGTGGACACTAGAAGCTATATGTGGTTTGAAAGGAGTGAAGGTGGGGAGAACCTTGTTTTGACCGATGTCGTTGGGAAACTAGAGCTTAACCCTACCACCACCCAAAAAAAGCGTGTGGATTTAAGGAGGTGTTGACATACAACCTGTTTTTAAGAGGAAGGACATGGGCTAAACAAAAAAACGCTACCATAGAGGTGAGAGGAATTACACAAGGGCACATGAATAGCAGTGGTCCCCGAATGCTTGGAGAGAAAAACCCTTCCTGTCTAAGACAAGGAAGAAAATGGTGAATGTTTGAAGTTGATTCTTCCAACCAACGGAAAGGAGAGGCCTGTTGTTTATCTTGAAGTGGGATGGAGGGGGAGCTGAGTTGAGGAGGACGGGACTTCATCTTGTGACTTCAGGTCCGCCCTGAACCACGCTGGAATGACAACATTGGGACAACATTCCTACTGCCCAAGGTTGCGGTAGGAAAAACATCAGTGGCAAAGATATACCCATTTTGACTCTCCTGCACCCTATCTGCATAATGTAGCAATTATAAAATATAGATGCGCATTTACTCTCACAAGATTGAATATACTGCCTTCGGTTGTACTTGAGGGACAATTCCAACAAATTCCACACGAAAAATGATTATGTCCCTGTGGAGATGGCAGTACCGAATCAGTGGCGCATGTCCTGGTTTGCATTCTTTATAAATATTTTAAGACTGAGGTTATCACCCCTATTTTATTGTCCATTCCGGGTCTCCCAGCCACTGTCACTGTTTTTTTTCTCTCAGCAGACCAAGATGAGCAAGTGACATCAAAATTTGCAAGGTTTTTAGCTGGGGAAATTAGAATAAGATCCACTATCTGACTATTCATTCAAAACCCCAAAATGTATTTTATATAATTGAGTTTTTATCTTTTCGCCGCTTCCGCGCATGTTTGACATCATTTTGAGTACCTGCACACAACTTTTGCAGGGGTTACATTTCGGTGATAGGTGTGTAAAGTCGAAATCACATATGGTCAGGACAAACCCCTGGGAATGAATCCATCGGACCACCCTTGCCTTCTGGAACCAGCAGCCGGATGGCTCTTAGACCCCCGTCCTGCCCCCACCCCCACCCAAGTTTTTAAAGCTCTCTGCCCTGTGCAAAAAGAGCTTTAAAACTCTCTGCCTTCTTTGCCTGCAAGTCAATTGTATATATTTTTACTTTTTCGGTGTTTTCTTCCCCCTGTAAAGCATCAGGACTGTGCAATTTTGCAGCTAAGCGATTGTGATGGAGCAGGGTGAGCTTCGCACCGGTTTTGTGTCTCTGCTGGGTCTGTGAAGCTGAAATGAAACATTTGCACCAGCCACTTCTTGCTGGCTTCTCTTCTCGCCTGTTACTTTTGCAACAACAACCCTGTGAGGTGGGCTAAGCTGTGACTATAACTGCACATCCTTATAGTGTTTTTCTGTGCCCTTCCCGCCCTTTATATCTTCTCAGTAACCTTGTGAGGTGGGCATGGCTTCAATATGGTTTTTTCCAGCACCATGGTTTTGAAATTGCAGAAAACAGCCTTAGGAGGTCTGGGGTGGGGTGCTTATTTTTCTTTCTCAGGGATGAGAAAGAATTCTTTTGCATTTGCCATAAAATATCTGTGAAACGTCCCTTAATATCCAGAGGGGCACTCTAACCACTATGCCACAACTGCCTCATGTGAACCTTGGCGCGGACCCCCTGCAGAATGCAAATCCCACCGCCCTGAAAATGCAGGAAGGAAAGGAGAGCGTGCCCTCCAAGGGAGGGGGGCGCTTTGAGGGGTCCCCATAGGCAGAATCCGCAATGTCTCCAGCACCACGCAGTTTGGGTGGGGGTGGGAGAGATGCTGGTTCTTTAAGGGTTAAAAGGAGCGATTATATTATGACAGAGGATTTCCTGGGGGGGGAGGGGAAAAGGGTCACTTCCTCCTCCGTTTGCCACATTTGACAAGCTGCGAGGGAGGAGATTCTGCAGCGCGGAAGACTCTGCTTTTTGCAAGGTAGGAAAAATAGGGATATATTGGGGGGGGGAGGGGCTTCCGAGCCAGAGATGCTCCTTTGCAGGAGAGAAGCCCTCCGGGAGAGGGCAGTTTTGCAAAGGGGCAGCGGTGGGAGGGCGCATGCGTGGGGTTGCCCCCCCAATTCAGCCCCCCAAGAGCTGCGATGAGTGTAAAAGGCTTTAAGGGGTGCAGGGGCGCCCCAGGAGGAGAGCAGGCGGGGGAAGAGGCAGTTTTAGGGTGGGCTAGAAACCCCCCCTCCCTAAAAGGAAAGGAGGCAGGATGGCTCTGGGAAGAGGAGGAGGGAGACATTCATGTTTTGGAAAAGCTCATTTCAGCTCTACACGGCGTGGGCTATTCCCCCCCCCCCTTAGATGCCTTCCCTGTCTGGGGGGGGGTGTTCAGGAGGAAAGCCCCCAAGGAGGGCACAGTCTCTCTGTATAGCAGACCAGCCCTAGGAAGGAACCAAGGTGTTGGGAGAGATGGAGGAGGGAAGACTTTAAGGAAGGGAAGAGGAGAACCACTGGCCATAAAGTTTCATTAGTTTCTCACCACCAGCAACTTGTGCAGCAGAACTGGGGGCTCCAAGCGCAGTCAGCTGCCTACACAGTCATATCCTTGCTCCACCTGGGCTACTATTGTCCACACGGACCGGCAGCAATTGCTCTTCCGGGTTTTCAGACGTGGTTTCTCAGCCCTGCCTGGGGACTGAATCTGGGGCTTCCTGCCTGCGGAAGAGATGCTCTGCCCTCGAACTACAGCCCCTTCCCCTAAAGTGGGGGTGGGGGAAAGGAAATAAATGTTTTTAATGGTGGTGGGAAGAAGATCCTCTTTCAGGCATGACTCCACTTTTCATGCATGGCTTCACAATCACCAGGAAAATGTCTTGGGCAGGAAACTGACTGCAGGGCCTCTGAGGCTCTCTTTGCTTCTTCAGGAACTTCTGAGCTCTTCAGTCCAAGCGAGGATGGAAGGAGGAAGATGGATGGTTGACCTGGTCAGGCTGTCTCCTGCATCCCTCCAAGCAACCTCTGAGCGTTGCCTCCCAGGACCCTCAGAGACATCTGGTGAGTTCCTAGGAAGTGGAGATAGGGACTTGGAGGGATGGAGAGTGGAAGCAGGGAATAAGATAAAGGGGGGAGGTTTTGCTGTGGAAACTGTGTATTGGGCCCCCAATATATTGGGAGGCTTCCCCTCCCAATATATCCATGGAGGAAAATCCCTGGAGTAGCTCTGAGGCCGCCTTTGCTTCTCCCTCACCCATAAAAACCTGCAGCTTGTTTAAACTTCTGAGTCCTGCAATATAGTTCCAAAGAAGCTGGATTTGTGGTCTTCTCCAAAGTCTATCCCCTGGAGCATGCACCAATATGTTGCCAGAAGAGGAGGAATAGGCAGAGGAGCCGTATATAGATATAAATACCACTGCGTTCAATGGGATCTACTTTCAGGTCACTACTGTGCCCCCCATGCCATGAGGCCTGGGTGCAAGGCCCATTCCACCTGGCCAAGGGGGTGGAGCCCAGGCTCACCTTCAAAAGCCAAAAGAGGCTCCTGGGAGGCCCCTGGGACATTGCTGGAACATCTCTTGGGTTGGGGCAACTGGCTAAAATGCCTTAAACGGTTCTGATTTTGGTTCCTCTGTTTTGTTTTTGTCGGGTTGGTGTTGGTTAATTGTTTAGTTGGGGTCGGTGGTTATTTTAATTTGGGTATAGCTGTAAACATGTTGTTATTATTATTATTGGGTTGTTCTTATTATTGGTTTGTTTGTTGCCTGTATAGGATATTTCTGTTTTTTACGTTTGATGTTTTGTTCTGTTTTTATATATGCTCTTAGCCGCACTGGGTGGCTGTGAGAAGCCCACCAGATTGGGGGATATAAATTTGTAATATATTCCCCATTTGGGCTTCTGCAGGGGCTGGAGAATATCTAGGGCAGAGGAATCCCTGCAGCTTCTCTGAGGCTCCTTTTACTCCTCCCTCCCTCCCTCCCTCCCTCCCTCCCTCCCTCCCTCCCTCCTTCCCAAGGAACCTGCAGCTTCTTTAGGCTTCTGAGCTCCTCAGGAAGGATGAAAGAGGCTGATCCTCTTTGACCCTCTTTCTGCTAATAACAACACCTTGAAGATCCCGGGCCCCAGGGAAATTAGACTGGCCTTGACTAGAGCCAGGGCCTTTTCAGCCGTGGCCCCGGCCTGGTGGACTGCTCTCCCACAAGAGACCAGGGCCCTGCGGGATTGGACATCTTTCCGCAGGTCTCGCAAGACGGAGCTGTTCTGCCAGGCCTTCGGGCAGCATGGAGTTTGACTTACTTTCCTTTGTATAAAACAAGCCCGAAGGAGGCCCCCAACCTGCTCACAGGTCCTTGTATGATCAGTGGAAACAGTTGGTCCTGGCAAGTATTAAACACTCTCAATTCCAACCTGATAATTGCCAACTGCTTAGATTTTAACTTGTCTGAATTAATTTTAAGATGTATTTTAATTAATTGATGTCTGTTTTTATGCATATTGTGTTGTTTTTATGATGCTAGCCACTCTGGGCCCTGCCTCGGCCGGAGAGGGCAGGATACAAAAATTATTATTATTATTATTATTATTATTATTATTATTAATTTTATTTATTCTGCTGCAGATCTAGCGAGGATGGAAAGCGGAAGATGGACGGTTGACCTGGTCAGGCTGTCTCCCACCACCTCTGACAGTTCTCTCCCAGGACCCTCAGAGAGATCTGGTGAGTGGCAGGGAATGGTGATGGGGACCCGGGGAGATGTTGGGAGTGAGGAAGCCCCCCTGGCGAGAAAAGGAGGAGGGCCAGAGTTCTCGGCTGTGAGAGATGAAAGGTAGAAAAGGAAAGGAATGTTTTTCAGTGGTGGCATGGGCGCAAGATTTTTGGTGGGGGCGGCAGGCCTTTTGTTAGGGGGGCAGCACTGGCATGATTGGCCAGTTAGTTAAGTATTTCTAATGTTTTACCTGATCTGGGGGGCTGCCCCCCACCCCTCCTTGGCTATGCCCATGAATGGTGGTGTGAAGAAAATTCTTTTTCAGAGTATAATGTTGTGTTGGGTCCTGAATCTTCCGACACTCACTGGTATAGCTGCAGCAATTGCCAGATGAGGGACTGAATGGGCTTCATCTCAGTATGGAGACAGATTTCCCCCCAGTTTGCAGCAGCCAAGCTGCCAGGTCAGCAGTGAGAAACTTGTGGGTCATTGCAGCAGTCCCTCTCTAGCTCACGAAGCCATTTTCCTCAAACTGTGTTCTGCTGCCCTACATATCAGAGGTCAGGGGCCAGGATGTGACTGCAAAGGATATGTATCAGGATCCCGAACGTGCACCGCTGATTGTTCCTTGGCACCTGAGACTTTCTGTCAGTGCAGGTCAGCTGATGAAACCTTATGATTATGATGCAGCACTTTGGGATCTTCACTAATTGCAGATCTTGCAAAAATCCCTGTAATTGCTCTTATAAGTCTTATTAGAGGAACATCTTTTTCAAGAGTGCAAAATTTTTATTCACCAGCTGATGTCGCTGTTTGTCACTCCCTCTCTGCGATTTTCGACCCCCTTCTCAATCTATGTCCGTCTATGTCAGTCTTATGCAATTCATTTCCGTTCCTCAAACCAGGAAATGTCGGTCTAAGAAAATGTCGGAGCGCGTGAGTCAGCAGAAGTACCGTATTTTTCGTCCCATAGGACGCTCCGTCCCATAGGACGCACCTAGTTTTTTTGGGGGGAAATAAAGGAAAAATTTTTTTCCTTTATTTCCCCCGCAAAAGCAGGTCGGGGAAACCGAACAAGGTCGAGGAACAGTGGAATGGCGGTGCTGCGCCTCCCTGCTGTCCCCTGAGCTTGTGGGGCTGGCCGATGTCTGCCCGGCGCGAGGGGCGCTCTGCTTCAGGGCACTCCGCCCCCCGGGTGGCATTCTGCTATCCGCAGCGTGGGGAGCCCTGGGGGGAACTCCTGCAGGGCTCCCCATGCTGTTTTTTGTTGCATCAATTAAGTGTTTTAAATTTGTTGTTAGCTGCATTGAGACCGGTTTTCTGAACCAGGAAGGGTGGAGTATAAATTAAAAAATATCTATCTATCTATCTATCTATCTATCTATCTATCTATCTATCTGCAAACCTAGCGAGGATGGAAGGAGGAAGATGGACAGTTGACCTGGTCAGGCTGTCTCCCACCGCCTCTGACTGTTCTCTCCCAGGACCCTCAGAGAGATCTGGTGAGTTCCAGGGAATGGAGATGGGGACCTGGGGAAATGTTGGGATTGAGGAAGCCCACCTGGCAAGAAAACGAGGAAGGCTGCAGGGCCAGAGCTCCGGGCTAGCAGAGATAAAAGGTAGAAAGAAAGGACATGAATGTTTTTTAATGGTGACATGGGCATAGTCAGAGTTTTGGGGGTGTTGTCTACCAGCTCCATCACAGGCTAAGTCCCTACCTGCACACAGACTGTGCTACATGCTATGGTTATCTCCCGCTTGGATTGCTACAATGCGCTCTAGGTGGGGCTGCCTTTGAAGGTGACTCGGAAACTACAATTAACCCAGAAAGCAGCAGCTCAACTGGTGACTGGGAGCAGTTGCCAGGAGCATATAACACTGGTCTTAAAGGATCTACATTGGCTCAGAGTATGTTTCCAAGCACAATTCAAAGTCTTGGTGCTGACCTTTAAAGCTCTAAATGGCCTCGGCCCTGTAGACCTGAATGAGCATCTCCACCTCCATCCTTCTGCCCGGACAATGAGGTCCAACTCTGAGGGTCTTCTGCTGGTTTCGTCACAGTAAGAAGTGAAGTAGTGGAACCAGCCCTGTGGAACACCCTCCCTTCAGATGTCAAGGAGATAAAGAACTACGTAGCTTTTAGAAGACGTCCGAAGGCAGCCCTGTATTGGGAAGTTTTTAATGTTTGCTGTTTTCCCTTAATTTTAGCAGGTGATGACCAGGGCAATAATGGTTCTCGGGGCTCATCAGAAAGAAATAGGCATGAAGCGAAGAGAACAAATGATAGCCCTTCATGTGGCAAAACGTTCAAAGGTAAATCGAGCCTCAGCCCACACTGCAGAATCCACTCAGAGGAGACACTGTATAAATGCTTGGTGTGTGGAAAGAGCTTCAATGACCGCTCAGGCCTAAAATCACATCAAAGAATTCACGCAGGACAGGAATCATACCAATGCCTAGAATGTGGAAAGAGTTTCAAGCGCCACTCAAACCTTACAACACATCAGGTAGTCCACAGCAGGGAGAAACCACATAGGTGCTCTGAGTGTGGAAAGAGCTTCAGTCGCAGGAGAAACCTTACAGAACATCAAAAACTTCACACAGGGGAGAAACCGTATACCTGTTTGGACTGTGGAAAGACCTTCCGTCACAGCGCAAGCCTTGCTTCGCATGAAAAAACCCACACAGGGGAGAAGCCGTATAAATGTTTGGAGTGCGGAATGAGCTTCGCTCACGGCTCAAGTCTTATATCGCACCAAAGAATTCACACAGGAGAGAAATCTTATAAATGTACAGAGTGCGGAAGGAGCTTTGCTCACAGTGCTACCCTTACTTCACATAAGAGAACCCACACAGGGGACAAACCATATAAATGCTTGGAATGTGGAAAGAGCTTCAGCCAGAGTTCACACCTTAGTTCACACAAGAGAACTCACACTGGTGAGAAGCCGTATAAATGCTTTGAGTGTGGGAAGAGCTTCAGTCAGAGTTCACACCTTACTGTGCATGAGCGAATCCATACAGGGGAAAAACCATATAAATGTGTGACATGTGGAAAGAGCTTTAGTAACTGCACATACCTTGTTTGCCATCGCAGAATCCATACAGGAGAGAAGCCATATAAGTGCTTTGAGTGTGGAAAGAGCTTCAGCCAGGTTACAAGCCTTCATATACATCAAAAAATTCACAGAGGTGAAAAACTGTATGCATGTTTTGAGTGTGGAAAGAGCTTCACTCAAAGCTCAAGCCTTGAACGTCATCAAAGAATTCACACAGGGGTGAAACCATATACCTGTTTTGAGTGTGGAAAGAACTTCATTCACAGCACAAGCCTTACATATCATCAAAGAATTCACACGGGAGAAACCATATAAATGTTTGGACTGTGGAAAGAGATTTGCACAGGGATCTAAGCTTACTTCTCATAAAAGAACTCACATGGGATAAACCATATATATGCTTGGAGTGTGGGAAAAGATTTGGTCAGATTTCACAACTCATTTTGCATAAGCGAATCAAGAGGAAAGAAATATTGAGATGCTTGTAATGCGGAAAGCATTTTAATTAGAGCACCGCTGTTGCTAAACTTCATGGAATTCATACAATAATTCTCATGGGAGAAATGGTACAGCGGCTGTCACGAAGGTGCCGTCAACTACAGGGCTGGCTGCCTGCCTGGTGAAATCAGTGGTGCTGTGAGCTTCTTTTGCTTCTTTCATTTAAATCAACAAAAACACACAGAAACATGGAATGTATGTCCTCAAAAACCTGAGCTGTTGCCTAGAGTGAGTGTTCCTGCCCCCAGCAGTTACTTCCTGGCCTTGAGCCCCTTCCTGTTGTCTACGGGGGCCGCTAATGGAAAATCTCTGTGTCTGTTTGGCTTTCTGCTCTGTGAGATGAAGGGCACGCCTGGTTGTAGGGGAAGGAGAGGACTCCAGTATAGTAGAGACATCGTGTCGCTTGGCTGCTGTGATATTTCTTTTTTTAAAAAAAATAATCTTTATTAAAGTTTCAAAAGGTTACAAATAACAAAACAGAAAAACAAAAGAGAACACAAAAAACAACAAAAAAGATTCCACCTTTTAGATCTCATTTTCAATAACTTCTTTTCATGACTTCCCCACGCCTCCCCTTATTGTATTCCAACTCCAGTTGTTTGTTCAAACAAGTTTTTGTCCTTAATGTCCTAATCATAAATTGTTAATTTGCTTAACCATGATTTGTTAATATGATTCTGTAATAAATTTATGCCTTATCATTATTATCCTTATCCTTAGTTTAGTTTATCCAACAATTTTTAAAATATATACCTTAATCATATATGAAAAAAACAAACAAGAAATATAAAAACAAGAAAAAAGATACCTTTCCTAATGTTGTCCTTAATTCCCATCCACGGATTCCCCTTTCTTATAATAATAAAAAACATATAATTTTTACACTGCATAATGAGAATCAGGCCGCCTTTGGACTTCTAAACCCCCACCCTTCTCTCCCCGGTTTCAGTCCCAAACCAAAGTCCAGTTAGTCCATCTTTTTAGCCTGGTGATCTTATGTCCGAGGCTCTCAAATCTCTCTCAGTCCCTTTCAGCTGGCTTCTTCGAAAGTCTCTCATGCTAAACATCCAGGGTCGAAAAGGTACCTTCTCAGTGTTGACCATGCTTCTTCCAGCCATGCCTACTTGTTTAAAGATGGAGCTCCAACTCTGCTTCTTGAATTTGTATATCCCAAATGGTCCCACTTTCACCTTGGTCGAATTAGAGTTCATCTTAGCAGGTCTCCGGCTCTCTTTTATCTTCTGTGGCATTTCAGCCACCCCTTCTTTCTGCTCCTCCTGTTCAGCAGGTGTCTTTTCCTCCTCTTCAATTTTTGGTTTCTTTTCTTGTCCAGCTGCCTGTGTTTTGAGCATCAAGTCCCTTTCCAACTCAATAGGTATATTTTCTGTTAACTTCGGTTTTGTGGGGCTTGTACACAAAACATGGCCTCGCTCACTCGTCTCTCGCAGCTTTCCCACGAGAAAGATAAGCTCTTGCAAGTCAGCTCGTATTTCCCGACCTAGTTCCATTCTTGTAATGTCCAAGAATCCCCTCTAGAGGGATTCTAGTTACTTTGTGTTCTTTTCCCTTCCGATCCAAAAGTCAGATTTGTTTGTATCAATCTTTCTTTACTTTCAATATTTTGTAACAATATAACCGGTTAAAATTTAAGCTTTCAGTTTTTCCCAACTTTGACAGCTAGTTTGACAGCTGTCAAAAGTTTTCTGTAAATCCTCAGCAGGCTCTTTTCACGGGTTACTCCCGGGCTTGAGAAAGATGGTACTTGATCCAAACAAATAAACTCTTGTCCTCCAGCACACTAGCTTAGTCCTTTAAATCCGTGGAATTTATATTTTTTATCCAATCACAACAGTTCTTCTCGCAACCTTAGATGACAGATCCTTGCTTTAAGCTGTTTACAATAGGGGGGAGACGGACTTCCTTTTTTTTTCCCACCTCCCCCGCTCGTACCAAATCCAAAACTGAATTATTTATAGTCCAATTTCCAAGTTACTCACGGGTTGTTGCTCTTGATTTTAAGTCCAAATTTTGGCAGGAAGAAGTCAGCGCTCCCCGACAAACGGCATGCGGCTACGCTCGGCAGGGGAAGCAGAAGACTCACAGCACCACGCCGCTCCCCGGCACCCGTTCCGTAGCCTTTAAAAAGGCTCCTTCACGAGTCGGGAGGGCGCTAACTGTGCCAGCCGAGTCACCATGTCCACGGGCTCCGTGCCCGTGGTTTTTTAGGGTCCCCGTATCGCCGGCACGGCAAGACCCAGCCCCCTGTCAAGCCGATTCCCTCCGGAGCTCGGAGGGAATCCGCTATTAGTCGATCGCACACTGGCTGCTGTGATATTTCTAACGCAACAGGCTCCTGTCTCTGTTCAGGGCTGGAGCACCTGCTATCTTGCTCCTGTTGATCCACTATTTCCCAGCTCCTTCCTTCTGCGGTGTGTCCCATCTCAAACCACCGCAATTCTAGGTCCATACTCCCTTCCTCTTCCCCTTCTCTGAAGCCTATTGGAGTGGCAGTCTCCACCACTCTTGCTCATCTCATCTTTGAAAACAGACCAAAGGATGGCCTAATATGGTCACACTCTTATCTAAGGAAGCATGTTGTGTGGAAAGGCAGGGACAGGTCTGAGCATCATGTACTGCTTCTGAACTCCTGCAGGTTTCTGGCTGGTGCTCTTGGGTACAAGATGGTGCCATCCATGGACCTTGGGTCAGATCCTGCAAAACAGTTATTGAAAGCGGACCAGGATTCATTGCTTTTGTTTTGTAGCAGTTGGGTAATTTGATTGTAGTTGGTAATGAGGCATTTCCCTTCTTTCCTCCAGGTGTGTCCCACCTTTTCCTTGTAACTTCTAGATGAATTAAAGCATTATATTTGAGCATTATCGTGGGGGTCAGAGTAAAACATTTTGTTACATGTGTGCTGTTGTAGTTACCTTTCACTGGAAAGGTGGAATATAATCAGGTATACCTATAAATGCACATGCACAAAAACACATGCATACTCAGAAATAATAAAATTCCTTGCTTATAAACCACTGCAGGAGGAAGCAACGCTTTGAAGCAACATTCCAACATATTGTTAGTTACAAGCAGGCCAACTGATTCAGATTAACACCATCAGCTTCTGTCCATCTTTATAGAATAAGTAAAAATGCTATATTCTTAACCATATTGGATTATCTTTTTAAAAAAGGGAAGGGGGAAATTGAGTTCCCCTAAGTGTTTTCATTTTGAAAATCTTAACGCACTTCTAGTCATGCAAATTCTTCAAAGCTTTCCTGAAAGCTCTAATGGAAACTTTTGGAACAGGGTAGAATTAAAGCAGTAAACAGCTCCATTTTAGGAAGAAAGTGAAGAAAACTGCCTTTTAAAAAAATACAGTGGTACCTCAGGTTACAGACGCTTCAGGTTACAGACTCTGCTAAGTCAGAAATTAAAGGAAAGTCCTCCTTCTGAATATAACTACTGCATTATGGGGAAGCATTTCTTCTTTTCTCTTGCATTCTGGGAAGTCTTGCTTGTAGGCTTTTCTCTGCTTTTACACACACACTGCACAACCTGTTCCTGTTCCAAAGACCAAGACATTCCCTCATTTCTTTACACTGACACTATGACCTGTTCTTAATGCACAGCTGACCACATCTACGGAATTCACTTATTATATTCTTTCATGTTATGATCAATCATTAGTAATTGTTTTAGTCATGTTATATTAATCTTTAGTTATAATTTAATTAGGAGGTTTCATGCCTGTCTAGTTCCAGTTTAGTTTCTCAGCCTTTAATCTATAAGTGATTAATGATCACATGTAATTCACGCCTTGTGCAACCTTGTACTTACGTTAACCAATCAGCAACAGGTTGCTTTGTGTTTGTATCAGCCAATCAGCCACAAGCACACCTGTGGCAATGTTTTGTAATATTCAATAAAGGAGAGTTCCCGGGGCTCGCCCCGGCAGACGCCTCTCTCACATGACACCTGCTACTCGTCTGTCGTTATTCCAGCCCAACAAGAAATAGTACCTCAGGTTAAGAACTTAGCTTCAGGATGAGAACAGAAATCGTGTGGCGGCGGCAGCGGGAGGCCCCATTAGCTAAAGCGGTACCTCAGGTTAAGAACAATTTCAGGTTAAGAACGGACCTCTGGAACGAATTAAGTACTTAACCTGAGGTACCACTGTAGAAGACATTGCAATTATTCAGGCTGGAACTTGCCAGAGCCTGGAGTTCAGTTGCCAAGTCACCTCTGTCCCGAAGGGGGCATAGCTGGCAAACCTGCAGAGGTGAGAAAAGCCATGGGGGGCAACCAGTGGGAGTGGAGAGGAGCCCCTCCGAAGTTTTGGAGGGAAGATCTTGAGAGGCCAGGGGCTGAGCTGGATTGGAAAGCAGTAAATAAAATGGAAACCTTTCTTTTAAATAAAAGCATACATGTGCTAGGAACTCCGCAAGAGCTGAGCTATTGTTTAGAATAGAACAGAATGAATTGTAAGAATACAATTTAAGAACCTATATATAATCTGAAAACAAGATGAGATGAGAAAATAAATATAATCAGCCCAACAGTTACCAATAAAGTGCATGTATTACTCAGCCATAAATAAAACTTTCACAAATCCAACTTGGTTAGGAAGCACCCTAAATTGACAGCCTTTATAGCATATTTAACCTGAAGACTGGGGAAAGTCATTCTACACTTCAAGCTGGGATCCAAGGAATCGCTTCTGTCAACCGGAGGGAAAGTTCTGTTGAACAAATGAAATTGTTGGAGAGGCGATGGAGGAAATTGTTGAGAGAGAGAAATGCAAGATGGGGCATCGTGTTGGGCTGCGACAGATTGTAATGGATTGCTTCCAAGTCGGGTCAGCATCAACAAATTGGGGGTGTGGGAGGAATCACCCCCAACCGCCTTGTATTTCGCCAGAAGAAAGGTAGCAACCCTCTTTTATGGGGTAGAAAGAAGCAGAATCCGCAATGTCCCCAGGACCTTATAGTTTGGGGTGGAGGGTGGAGTGGGGAGGGGGAATACTGGCTCTTCAAGGGTTAAGGGCAGCGATTCTATTGCTAGAGAGGACTTCCTGGGGGGAGAGGGAAGCGTCACTTCCTCCTCCGTTTGTCACATGTGACAAGCTGCGAGGGAGGAGATTCTGCAGCGCGGAAGACTGTGCCTTTTGCAAGGTAGGAAAAGAGGGATATATTTGGGGGGCGGAGGGGGCTCCCGTGCCAGAGCAGGAGAGAAGCCCTCCGGGAGAGGAGCATGCATGGGGCTGCACCCCACATTTGAGCCCCCAAAGAGCTGCGGGGAGAGCAAAGGACCTCGAGGGCTGCAGGGGCGCCCCAGGGGGAGAGCAAGGCAAGAAGGCGAGGCGGGGGGGGAGGGAGTTTTAGGGTGGGGTAGGAACCCCCCCAAAAAAGGAAAAGGGGGCAGGATGCCTCTGGGGAGAGGAGGAGGGAGGCATGGATGTTTTGGAAAGAAAGGGGTCGAGTAGAGAGGGCAGGATTAGACCAAAGGGGGGGGTCTTGGATGGGGGGCTTTCTGCCTGCTGAGGAGATGCTCCGCCCTTGAGCTGCACCCCTTCCCCTAAAGTGGGGCTGGGGAGAGGGAGGAAGTGGGGGGGGGTGTCAGCCCTGTCGCAGCTCCAGGCTGGCAGAGAGAGAAGGAAGCCAGGAAAGGAATGTTTTGAATGTTGGTGGGAAGAAGATTCTCTTTCAGGCGTGACTCCACTTTCCTTGCATGGTGGGGTTCAGGAGGGGGGACACTCCTCTTTTATCATGGACGCTGCACATGGGAGCTCCACACCCAGGCAGGCTTATCATTCACCAGGAAAATATCTTGGGTGGGAAAAAGCCTGCAGGCCCTCTGAGGCTGGCTGCCTTTGCTTCTTCCTCCCTCCCAGGAACCTGCAGCTTCTGAGCTCCTCTGGAAGGATGAAAGAGGCTGATCCTGCGATCCTAGCGAGGATGGAAGGGGGAAGATGGACAGTTGACCTGGTCCGGCTGCCTCCCACAACCTCTGACCGTTCCCCTCCAGGACCCTCAGAGAGATCTGGTGAGTGGCAGGGAATGGAGATGGGGGCATGGAGGTTTGGGGAGTGGAAACAAGGAAATTCTGTGGCAAGATAAATCCCTGCAGGCTCCCTTTGCTTCTGCCTGAGTTACAGGGGGTTGGGGGGGAGGGAGGATGGATGGATGGGGGGGGAGGGGAACCCCCCCCAAGTGAGCAGAAAAGACACAGGGGGGAGAAAAGGCAAGAAGGTCTTGACTGGAATAAGGGTGGGGAAGAGGACCAATGTGTTTCTGTGTGTCAGAAGAGGGAGAATATGCACAGCAGTCCATTGCAGATTTACTCTTATGTAAGCTCCACTGAGTTCAACGGGATATACTTTCAGGTCACTACTGAGTGTACCATGCCGGCCTTAAGAAAGATAGAGGAAGCAGACAGATTAATTTGGAATCACAAAAACATGTTTAAAAACTGTTGGGGACTGTTGCAGAGGGGATGTCCAGCGGCAGGAGAATATCTAGGGCAGGAGAATTCCCTGCAGGGCTGCTGAGACTTCCTATGCTTCTTTTTCCGTCTCAGGAAAATGCCGCTTGTTTTGTCTTCTGAGCTCCTCAATAAGGATGAAAGAGTCTGATTCTCCTGGTATGCCTCTCCTGGTATGCCCCGCAGAAGACCTTAAGGTCCATGAATAATCATAGTTTGGGCCCTAAGGAAGTCAGATTATCCTCCACCAGGGCCAGGGCCTTCTTAGTGATGGCTCCGACCTGGTTGAATGCTCTGTCCCTTGAGACCAGGGCCCTGCAGGATTTAACTTCCTTCCGCGGGGCCTGTAAGACAGAGCTATTCCGCCTGGCTTTCAATTTGAACTTAGCGTGATCTTTTATTCCCCTTCCTTCCCTCCCCCTCCCCTTTTTATGAAGATTACCCGCTCTAGGATCCCACAGCTAATTCTCCCCTGGTCTCCTCGCTGGCCCAAATAGGACTAATTTAGCCAGCTAGCCCTGGTGATCATCTAATGTTCAGGTGGATGGATTTCCACCTAAATTGATTTTTGAATTCTGAATTTATTGTTATTCACATTTTATACTGTATTTTATGCTGTTTTTTGTTGCATCAATTAAGTGTTTTAAATTTGTTGTTCGCTGCATTGAGCCCGGTTTCCTGAACCAGGAAGGGTGGAGTATAAATAAGAATTTATTTATTTATTATTATTATTATTATTATTATTATTATTATTATTATTATTCTGCAAACCTAGCGAGGATGGAAGGAGGAAGATGGACGGTTGACCTGGTCAGGCTGTCTCCCACCACCTTTGAATGTTCCCTCCCAGGACCTTTAGAGAGATCTGGTGAGTTCCAAGGAATGGAGATGGGGACCTGGGGAGATGTTGGGGGGTGAGGAAGCTCCCCTGGCAAGAAAACAAGGAGGGCTGCAGGGCCAGAGCTCTGGACTGGCAGAGATTAAAGATAGGCAGGAAATGAATGTTTTCTCATGGTGACTTGGGCATAGTCAGGATTTGGGGGCTGCTGTCTACCAGCTCCATCTGGTACACAGGCTGAGACCCTACCTGCACACAGACTGTGGTACATGCTATGGTTATCTCCCGCTTGGATTGCTACAATGCACTGTAGGTGGGGCTGCCTTTGAAAGTGACTCGGAAACTACAATTAATCCAGAAAGCGGCAGCTCAACTGGTGACTGGGAGCAGTTGCCAGGAGCATATAACACTGGTCTTAAAGGATCTACATCGGCTCAGAGTTTGTTTCTGAGCATCATTCAAAGTGTTGGTGCTGACCTTTAAAGCTCTAAACACCCTGTAGACCTGAAGGAGCATCTCTAACCCCAGACACAGAGGTCCAGCTCTAGTTCCCTGATTGCCAGAAGTGAAGTTACAGGGAACTAGGCAGTGGGCCTGCTCAGTGGTGGCACCCTTCAGATGTCAAGCAGATAAAGAACTATGTAGCTTTTAGAAGACATCTGAAGGCAGCCCTGTATTGGGCAGTTTGATGTTTTATATATGCTGTGGCTGAGGAAACCCAGCCAGATGGGCAGGGTATAAATAATAAAATCACCACCACCATCATCAGATGTTACAGGAAGTCTCACTAGAATTGTGATTTGGATTACATTTTTAATTGTCATCCTCCCTTATCTTTAGCAGGTGATGAACACGACAGTCATTGTTCTCGGGTCTCATCAGAAAGAAATAAGCATGAAGTCAAAGGAAGGACCTTTCAAGATCAAGAGGAAACAAGACCACAAGAGAAAAACCAAGAAGAAAATAGGAGGTATGAAGGCCTTCTAATGCAGACTGATAACGGCCATCGAATCCCAGTCCAGAAAAAACATCAGAAGGGGAAGAGAACAAATGGGAGACCTTTATGTGGCAAAACATTCCAAAGTAAATCTAGGTTCAATTCACACTGCAGAATCCACACAGAGGAGAAACCGTGTGAATGCTTGGTGTGTGGAAAGAACTTCAGTGACAGCTCAGGCCTAAAATCACATGAAAAAATTCACGCAGGACAGGAATCATACAAATGCCTAGAATGTGGAAAGGGTTTCAATCGCCACTCAAACCTTAAAAGACATCAGAAAGTCCACAGTGAGGAGAAACCATATTCCTGTCTAGAGTGTGGAAAGGCCTTCATTTACAGCTCAGGCCTTGTAGATCATCAAAAAATTCACACAGGGGAGAAACCGTATACCTGTTTGGACTGTGGAAAGACCTTCTGTCAAAGCTCAAACCTTGCATCTCATCAAAAAACCCACACAGGGGAGAAGCCATATAAATGTTTGGAGTGCGGAATGAGCTTCGCTCATGGCTCAAGTCTTACATTGCATCAAAGAATTCACACTGGGGAGAAATCTTATAAATGTTTGGAGTGCGGAAGGAGCTTTGCTCACAGTGTTAGCCTTACTACACATAAGAGAACCCACACAGGGGAGAAACCATATAAATGCTTGGAATGTGGAAAGTGCTTCAGCCAGAGTTCACACCTTAGTTCACATAAGAGAACTCACACTGGTGAGAAGCCGTATAAATGCTTTGAGTGTGGGAAGAGCTTCAGTCATAGTTCACATCTTACTGTGCATGAGCGAATCCATACAGGGGAAAAACCATATAAATGTGTGACATGTGGAAAGAGCTTTAGTAACTCCACATCACTTGTTATCCACCGCAGCATCCATTCAGAAGAGAAGCCATATAAGTGCTTTGAGTGTGGAAAGAGCTTCCGGCATGGTACAGGCCTTCATAAACATCAAAAAATTCACAGAGGTGAAAAACCGTATGCATGTTTTGAGTGTGGAAAGAGCTTCACTCACAGATCACAGTTTAAATGTCATCAAAGAATTCACACAGGGGTGAAACCATATACCTGTTTTGAATGTGGAAAGAACTTCACTGAAAGCTCAAGCCTTAGATCTCATCACAAAGTTCACACAGGGGAGAAACCACATAAATGTTTGGAGTGTGGAAAGAGATTTGCACATGGATCTGGCCTTACTTCTCATAAAAGAATTCACACAGGGGAGAAACCATATATATGTTTGGAGTGTGGAAAGAGATTTGCACAGGGATCTGCCCTTACTTCTCATAAAAGAACTCACACAAGGGAGAAACCATATAAATGTTTGGAGTGTGGAAAGAGATTTGCACAGGGATCTACGCTTACTTCTCATAAAAGAACTCACACAGGGGAGAAACCATATAAATGTTTGGAGTGTGGAAAGAGATTTGCACATGGATCTACGCTTACTTCTCATAAAAGAACTCACATGGGATAAACCATATATATACTTGGAATGTGGGAAAAGATTTGGTCAGATTTCGCATCTCATTTTGCATAAGTGAATCAAGATGGGGAAAATATTTCGATTCTTGTAATGAGGAAAGCACTTTAAGTGGAGCACCGCTAATTTGCAAGATATAGGTTTGTTGGATTTGGAGGGACATAATAACCGTTGGGCTTGGCACCCTTATTGAATTTATGGAAAGGCAAAAATACACAGAGATTTCTCAAATCATATTATAAGGAGATCACTTCTTAAAGTTTGGGAGAAATACAAAGATCGGTTGGAGCCTAAAATCCCGTGGTGGGCCTCTCCAAGCAGAGGCTACAGTGGTGAAGGAAAAAAATATGTTGTGAAATTGGCCTACTTATAAAATAATTTTAAAAGAAGATAACCAACTGAAACTTAAAAGTTTTGAGGAATTAAGAGATATTATTACAGATTGGTTCCAATATTATCCAATATTCAAAAAAATTAATGTAGATAAAAAGGGTTTGCCAAGGAAACCTCGAGATTTGATTTACATCAGCCGTGATAAAGTGGTCTCAAGACTTTGGTATGTTATAACATTGTCCCAATGGGAAAATCTGTGGAAGAATAGTTGGAGATTTACCACGTGCTATGCCATAAGGAAAACGTTTTAAAAATGCAGCACCAGTGGTATTTGACTCCATGGAAATTAGCCAAAATGTACAAAGGAGCCAAAAGTAACTGTTGGAGATGTGGAGATCAAACAGGCTCACTGTATCATATATGGTGGCAATGTAGCAAAATAAAGAAATTTTGGGAGGAAATCCATTCAGAATTAGAAAAAATGTTAAGACTTTCCTTTACAGTGGGACCTCGGGTTAAGAACTTAATTTGTTCTGGAGGTCCATTCTTAACCTGAAAACTGTTCTTAACCTGAGGTACCACTTTAGCTAATGGGGCCTCCCGCTGCTACCGTGCGATTTCTGTTCTCATCCTGAAACAAAGTTCTTAACCGAGGTACTATTTCTGAGGTAGTGGAGTCTGTAACCTGAAGCATCTGTAACCTGAGGTGTCTGTAACACGAGGTACCACTGTAATAGAAAGCCAGAGGCACATCTGTTGGGGATCACTGACTCAGATATTCCAAAACAAATTAAAGGTATTTTTTTGTATGCAACAGTGGCAGCGAGAGTCCTTATAGCCATCAAGGTGGAAAAGCAACATAATTCCTTCCAGACAGGAGTGGATTCAAAAATTGACTGAATATGCTGAATTAGATAGCTTATCAGGAAAAAATAAACCGAGAGCTGAATTTTTATCAAAATGGGAGTGCCTGATCACCCCATCTGTCTCCTGAGAAATCTCTATGTGGGACAAGAAGCGACAGTTAGAACTGGATATGGAACAACTGATTGGTTCAAAATTGGGAAAGGAGTATGACAAGGCTGTATATTGTCTCCCTGCTATTTAACTTATGTGCAGAATTCATCATGCGAAAGGCTGGGCTGGATGAATCCCAAGCCGGAATTAAGATTGCCGGAAGAAATATCAAGAACCTCAGATATGCAGATGACACAACCTTGATGGCAGAAAGTGAGGAGGAATTAAAGAACCTTTTATTGAGGGTGAAAGAGGGGAGCGCAAAATATGGTCTGAAGTTGAACATCAAAAAAACGAAGATCATGGCCACTGGTCCCATCACCTCCTGGCAAATAGAAGGGGAAGAAATGGAGGCAGTGAGAGATTTTTACTTTCTTGGGGTCCATGATCACTGCAGATGGTGACAGCAGCCACGAAATTAAAAGACGCCTGCTTCTTGGGAGAAAAGCAATGGCAAACCTAGACAGCATCTTAAAAAGCAGAGAAATCACCTTGCCAATAAAGGTCCATATAGTTAAAGCTGTGGTTTTCCCAGTAGTGATGTATGAAAGTGAGAGCTGGACCATAAAAAAGGCTGATTGCTGAAGAATTGATGCTTTTGAATTATGGTGCTGGAGGAGACTCTTGAGAGTCCCATGGACTGCAAGAAGATCAAACCTATCCATTCTGAAGGAAATCAGCCCTGAGTGCTCACTGGAAGGACAGATTGTGAAGCTGAGGCTCCAATACTCTGGCCACCTCATGAGAAGAGAAGACTCCCTGGAAAAGACCCTGATGTTGGGAAAGATGGTGGGCACAAGGAGAAGGGGATGACAGAGGACGAGATGGCTGGACAGTGTTCTTTAAGCTACCAGCATGAGTTTGACCAAACTGCGGGAGGCAGTGGAAGACAGGAGTGCCCGGCGTGCTCTGTTCCATGGGGTCACAAAGAGTCGGACACAAACTAAATGACTAAACAACAAAAAAACTCTGTAAAAATAATATAAAAAATAATATTTTGGTATGGCAGTAAAGTTATTTAGAAAGAACTAAAGGAATAAATGGGAGGTTGGGTTTAATGATAATGAGATTTTTTTTTTATACTGTAACATGAAATTGCAATCTCAAATTTATGTCATATTCTTTATCTTACTAATAACAATAGATAGTTTTAGTTTTCTTTTCCCTTCCCCCCTTCCTTAATTTGTACCTCTTCTATTGGTATTGTCTTTTTGTAATATTTTTTCCAGTTATGTAATTTTGTCCCAGTTATGTAGAGAGCTTCTTTCACTCTCTTTCATTTAAATCCACGTGAAATACAGAGATTACAATTACTTCCTGGCTTCCGACCTTCCTTCCTGCAATCTGTATTTTATGCAAGAGTGAAAATTACATCTAAATCCTAAGCTTTAGGAAGAAATTTCTGACTGCAAGTGAGATTGAGCTTACCTGGGGTAAGGTGGTGAACTTCCTCCTTCATTTTTTAAGGTTTTTCAGCCAGCAGGTCGGGTTTTCCTGCATTGCAGGGGGTTGCTGGTCTAGATCAGGGATTGTCGATCTGGTTCCTACCAATCTCACAGCAAAACCTCCCCCCTTTATCTTATTCCTGCTTCCACTCTCCATCCCTCCAAGTCCCTATCTCCACTTCCTAGGAACTCACCAGATGTCTCTGAGGGTCCTGGGAGGCAACGCTCAGAGGTTGCTTGGAGGGATGCAGGAGACAGCCTGACCAGGTCAACCATCCATCTTCCTCCTTCCCATCCTCGCTTGGATGTGAAGAGCTCAGAAGTTCCCGAACAAGAAAAGAGAGCCTCAGAGGCCTGCAGGGATACTCCTGCCCAAGACATTTTCCTGGTGAATGTGAAGCCATGCATGAAAAGTGGAGTCATGCCTGAAAGAGGATCTTCTTCCCACCACCATTAAAAACATTTATTTCCTTTCCCCACCCCCACTTTAGGGAAGGGGCTGTAGTTCGAGGGCAGCGCATCTCTTCCGCAGGCAGGAAGCCCCAGATTCAGTCCCCAGGCAGGGCTGAGACTCCGCGACTGAAAAACCCCGAAGAGCAATTGCTGCCAGTCCGTGTCAACAATAGTAGCCCAGGTGGAGCAAGGCTATGTGTAGGCAGCTCAGTGCGCTTGGAGCCCCCAGTTCTGCTGCAGCAGTGGCTGGTGGTGAAGAAACTAATGCATTTTATGGCCAGTGGTTCTCCTCTTCCCATCCTTAAAGTTTCCCTCCTCCATCTCTCCCAACACCTGGTTCCTTCCTAGGGCTGGTCTGCTATACAGAGAGACTGCGCCCTCCTTGGGGGCTTTCCTCCTGAACCCCCCAGACAGGGAAGCATCGAAGATAAAAGAGCCCATGTCTTTGTAGAGCTGAAATGAGTTTCCAGCTGACCCTGCCCTCCCTCTTTTCCCAAAACATGATGTCTCCCTCCTCCTCTTCCCCAGAGCCATCCTGCCTCCTTTCCTTTTAGGGAGGGGGGTTCTAGCCCACCCTAAACTGCCTCTTCCCCCCCCTGCTCTCCTCCTGGGGCGCCCCTGCACCCCTTAAAGCGTTTGCACTCTTCGCAGCTCTTGGGGGGCTGAATTGGGGGTGGCAACCCCACGCATGCGCCCTCCCACCGCTGCCCCTTTGCAAAACTGCCCGCTCCTGGAGGGCTTCTCTCCTGCAAAGGAGCTGCTCTGGCGCGGGAGCCCCCCCCCCAAAAAAAACAACACCCCACAATCTCCCTCTTTTTCCTACTTGCAAAAGGCACAGTCTTCCGTGCTAGCAAATCTCCTCCCTCGCAGTTGTTCAAATGCAGGAGGATGTTGACGAACGGAGGAGGAAGTGACGCTTCCCCCCTCCCCCAGGAAGTCCTCTCTCATAAAATAATTGCTGCTTTTAACCCTTGAAGAGCCAGCATCTCTCCCACCCCAACCCAAACTGCGTGGTGCTGGGGATTCTGCGGATTCTGCCTATGGGAACCCACACAGCGCCCCCTTCCCTTGGAGGGGGGCCCGCTCTCCTTTTCTTCCTGCAGTTGTGGCATGGCTTCCGATTGGCTCTTGCCATCGTAGAAGCCAATGGGAAGCTGCTTGTCTCCCCGCTGGACATTTGGCTTCCGAAAATTGTTCGAAAAGCGAAACACTTACTTCCAGGCTTTTGTCGTTTGGGAGCTGAAATATTTGACTTGCAAAAATATATCATTTGCCTGATAATAAATGTTGGAAATGTAAAGAGATTGAAGGTACATTCTTTCACCTTTGGTGGACGTGCCCAAGGATCAAGGCTTTCTGGGAAATGATATATAATGAACTGAAAAAGGTATTTAGATACACTTTCCCGAAGAAACCAGAGGCCTTCCTCCTGGGCATAGTGGATCAATCGGTGTTAAAGAAGGACAGAACTTTTTTTATGTATGCAACAGCAGCAGCAAGAATTCTTATCGCAAAACATTGGAAGACACAAGATTTACCCACCTTGGAAGATTGGCAGATGCAATTAATGGACTACATGGAGATGGCGGAATTGACTGGCAGAATCCGAGACCAGGGAGAGGAGACGGTGGAGGAAGATTGGAAGAAATTTAAAATTTATTTGCAGAAATACTGTAAAATTTATGAATGTTAAGGACATTGAAATGAACCCTAGGGGCTTTAGCAACAAAGTAAAATGTAAGATTGGACTAGCAAATAGACAAATTAACAGGTTATGAATTTGCTGAATTAACTTTTAAAAAGGGATACAAGAACGGGGGATGTGAGGAAGTCGGGAAAATAAGCTATTTGAAAATGAGAAACTAAGAAAGAGGGAATTTTTGTTTTTTGTTAGGTTTGTATTTTTGTATTGTAGTGTTGTTTGTGATTTTGTCTTTTTTGTTTATGTAAGTCTGTTTATTGTGAAAATTTAATAAAAAAATTATTTAAAAAAAATGAAATATTTGACTACGGAGGCGTTTGACTTCCCAGCTACCACTGTACTGTGTTCCATATCCTTCTTTGCTTCTGATTACATTCCATTTTACAAAATTATCACTTAGTCAACAGCTGCACTCCATGGTTTCTATTTACTTTATTTTATTATTTAACCTTTCATAAAACATCAAGTGAGGAAACAATAATTCTTTTCTTTTCAATCCGTGCATGTCTAATTGAATAAATCCAGTTGTTAACTTCATTGGGTCTATTTCTCTGCCGCTGATGAATGAATGAATCTTTTTTTAAAAAAAATCCTTTTATTCATTTTCTATCACCAAACAACGGGGGGGGGGGAAGGAAAATGAAAAATAAAACACCAAATAAAAAATAAAACATCAATCAAAACAAAAACATGAACAAACCAGAAGACAAACCATAGTTAACAACAAAAAGTTGGGGTTATGTAAAATAATAATTCCATTCTGCAGTTTTCATTTTATATCATCTACACGTCGCAAGGATTATATTAAACCTACTGTGATTTTTATATCTCTAGAATTTGTTTCCATGTATGTTATAAATTTAATCCAATCATCAATAAACTTTGTACCTTTTTGCTGTCTGATATTCTGCGTCATTTTTGCCAAATCCATATATTCAAATAATTTGGTTTGCCAATCTTTAACGGTCGGGATATTTGGGGTTTTCCAATTTTGTGCTAACAGGATTCTGGCAGCTACAGTTGCATATTGAAACATTATATGGTCTTCTTTCTTAATCTCGTCTCCAATCATTCCCAGAAGGAAGGCTTCGGGTTTTTTAACAAAGGTGTATTCAAGAATTTTTTTCAATTCATTGAAGTGATGAATGAATGATTCTTTATTTGCATCCGCCACCAGCCATAAGCAATAAAACAAACAGTATGATATACAAAGAATAAAGATAAAAAGTCAATTATATAAATACACTCTGAGGCTTTGAATCAATAGTCAAATAGCAGATCTTATTTGAATTGCCCTGGCTAAAAACCTTGCAACCTTTGCTGTCACCTGCTCATCTTGGTCGGCTGAGAGAAAGGACACTGTGACAGCAGCTGGGTGACCCGGAATGGACAATAAAATAGGGGTGATAGCCTCACTCTTCAAATCTTTACAAAGAGTTCAAACAGGAAGGACATGCGCCACTGATTCGGTACTGCCATCTCCACAGGAATATAACAGTTTTTCGTGTGGAATTTGTTGGAATTGTCCCTCAAGTACAACCGAAGGCAGTATATTCGATCTTGCGAGAGTAAATGTGCGTCTATATTTCCCAATGTTGTCGTTCCAGCGTGTTTCAGGGCGGACCTGAAGTCACAAGATTAAGTCCTCCTCAACTCAGCTCCCCCTCCATCCCACTTCCAGATAAACAACAGTCCTCTCCTTTCAGTTGGTTGGACAAATCAACTTTCAAACATTCACCATTTTCTTCATCTTAGAACAGAAGTGTTTTTCTCTCCAAGCTTTCGGGGACCACTGCTTTTCACGTGCCCTAGTGAAATTCCTCTCGCCTCCAAGGTAGCATTTTCCTGTTTAGTCAATGTCCTTCCTCTTAAAAATAGGTTGTATGTCAACACCTTCTTAAACCCACACTCTTTTTTTGGTGGAGGTGGGTTAAGCTCTAGTTTCCCAATGGCATCGGTCAAAACAACAAGGTTCTCTCCACCTTGACTCCTTTCAAACCACACACAGCTTTAAATCTTATTTTAAATGTCAAAGTACACAGTACATCGAACCATCCACACTTGTAACTCTACAAACTTTGTGTTTGGAGAGGCTTGCCAAATCATAAACTTAGGGACTTCCAGTAACATGCAGCTGGATAGTGCAAAGTTCTAGTGTCCACATCTCCTCCGCCATTACTTAATGCCAATTAAAATCCAATAATAAGGAGAACCTCCGCTTTTGATGGTGGTCCAAGGGGGTTGCATCATGGCAAAGGTGGTGACCCAACTCCTCCATCTGCCGCCATGCTGATCTACAAGGGAGCGAGCCGTTGAGGGCGACCTTCGGTCAGCCTGCTCCCTCGTACCCCAGGAGGTTTCCAGGAATGCTTAAACCTTTTCGCTCCCTACCCCTTCATTTGTGCCTCCCTCCAATTTTGAGAGAGCTGTCGCCATAGTGCAAGACCAGAACCGGAAACTCCAGGTCAAAGAATAATACAAATGTAGGGTTGGAAGGGACCACACGAATCATCTAGTCCAGGGGTAAGGGTAAAGGGACCCCTGACCATTAGGTCCAGTCGCGGATGACTCTGGGGTTGCGGCGCTCATCTCGCTTTACTGGCCGAGGGAGCCGGCGTACAGCTTCTGGGTCATGTGGCCAGCATGACTAAGCCGCTTCTGGCGAACCAGAGCAGCGCACGGAATCACCGTTTACCTTCCCACCAGAGCAGTACCTATTTATCTACTTGCACTTTGATGTGCTTTCAAACTGCTAGGTTGGCAGGAGCAGGGACTGAGCAACGGCAGCTCACCCCATCGCAGGGTTTCGAACCGCCGACGTTCTGATCGGAAAGCCCTAGGTTCTGTGAATTAGACCACAGCGCCACCCACGTTCCAGTCCAGGGGTAGTCAACATTTTTATACCTACTGCCCTCTAATGCAGTGTTTCCCAACCTTTTTTGGGCAAAGGCACACTTGTTTCATGAAAAAAATCTCGAGGCACACCACCATGCCAGATGGGGAAAGGTCACTTTTTACTTCTGTAAAAAAAAAAAAAATAGTAACAGCATAGAAGGTAATGGTTATCTCTTTGATGTCTGATGGGAGGGCATTCCACAGGGCGGGCGCCACTACCGAGAAGGCCCTCTGCCTGGTTCCCTGTAACCTCACTTTTCACAGTGAGGGAATTGCCAGAAGGCCCTTGGCACTGGATCTCAGTGTCTGGGCTGAACGATGGTGGCGGAGACGCTACTTCAGGTATACTGGACCGAAACCGCTTAGGGCTTTAAAGGTCAGCACCAACACTTTGAATTGTGCTCGGAAAGGTACTGGGAGCCAATGTAGGTCTTTCAAGACTGTCGTTACGTGGTCTCGGCGGCAGGTAGCAGCGCTCACAGCTTACGGACTGCACCGTGTAACAGGTGTCTGGCCCAGCAGCCTAAGGCGGACAAGCCACTGAAACAGGCATTCAGAATCCATTCATTTCATAAAACCTGCAGGGCTCAATCTCTGTGTTTGTGTATGTGTGTGTTTCTGTTTTGCCCAAGGGTCTGGGGGTGGGAGAGAGCTCTTTAGCATGATGCTTTTAAAACAATTAAATTATCAACAAACAAACCTGATGATACAAATAGCAACGTCAGGTGCTACCGGGGGGGGGGGGAGAAGGGGGCCTACTCGGAAGTAAATACTGCGTCCAGGCGCAATTAGCGCTGATTTAAGGTGCACCAAGACTGCCTAAAAACCTCACCAAAGATATGCAACAAAGCGCTTCGTTGCAGAGGGGAGAGTTTGTGCACCGTGGAGGCTGGAGGGCTTCTATTCTACATGCGGGGGTTGGGGGGGCGAGGAAAATGTGCTCCGTTGGGGGGCGGGGAAGGCAAGAAAAGGAGCTGAGCTCTAACTATAGGCTCCCACGCTTGAGCAGGCCCGACTCGGTGGGAGCCTATAGTTAGAGCTCAGCTCCTTTTCTTGCCTTCCCCGCCCCCCCACGGAGCACATTTTCCTCGCCCCCCACGCTTGAGCAGGCCCTCCTCCTGGAGGAGGAGGAGGAGATTCCCATCCACGGCGTGGCCTCCCGCGCTCCTGAACGGGAAACCTCTGCAGCCCAAGACTCTCCGCGAGGCAGCTCCTCCCTTCCTGCCTTGAGCCGCCGCCAGCCGCGCCCCCCTCCCCAGTTATCTGCTGCCTGCCAAGCCCCGCCCCTCTTCATTGTCCTCCCCTTCTGTTTATACACAAAGACCCCCCATCTTCTTCCGCCTTCCCCTTCCTCCATCCCTCGCTTTTTTTCCTCTCTTTCCTTTTTTTAAAAAAATATTTTCTCTTCCCCTTCTTTTTTCCACCCTTTCTTTTTTTCTATTTCTCCCCCCCCCTCCCCACCCTCCTGCCTTCCTGGGTTAAAGGATTTGAGCAATGGGTCTGGAGGTGGAGCTCGTCGGAGGATTAGCCCGACTCGCCCGCCTCCCTCCCACGGCACACCAGGCAACGTCCGGTGGCACACTAGTGTGCCGCGGAACACCGGTTGGGAAACACTGCTCTAATGCATCTTTCTTAATGGTACAATTTCCTTACCACCCACCAGGACTTAATGGAAGGAGGATTCAGCTTGTGCCGTAGAACCCTCTACCGCCTAATTAGAATCCTGAAATGCCCACTAGTGTGCGGTAGGGACCAGGTCGACAATCCCTGATCTAGTCCAACCCCCTGCAATGCAGGAAAAACAACCCGACCTCTGCTGAAAAACCTAAAAAAATGGAGAGTTCACCACCTTCCAAGGTAGCTCATCTCACTTGCAGTCAGAAATTTCTTCCTAAAGTTTAGGTTTAGATGTATTTTTACTCCTTACATAAAATACAGATGCAGGAAGAGTCGGAAGGCCAGGAAGTAAGTGTAATCTCTGTATTTACGTGGATTTAAATGAAAGAAGTGAAAGAAAACTTACACTATTGTTATTATTAAGATAAAGAGTAATACATAAATTTGAGATTGCAATTTCATGTTACAATAAAAAAAACTCATTATCATTAAATATATATCATTAATATATATTCTAAAGGCCTCCCATTTTGATACAAATTCAACTCTCGGTTTATTTTTTCCTGATAAGCTATCTAATTCAGCATATTCAGTCAATTTTTGAATCTACTCCTGTCTGGAAGGAACTTCTTCCTCCTCGACTTCCCAGTGGAGGAGGCGGCGATAAGCTTTAGAGAGAGTTTTACTTTTTGAGTGTATTACGTTGGATTCAAATCTTGAGGTTTCCTTGGCAAACTCTTTTTTTCTACTTTAAATTTTTCGAATATTGGATAATATTGGAACCAATCTGTCATAATATCTCTCAATTCCTCAAAACCTTTAACTTTCAGTTGGTTATCTTCTTTTAAACTTATTTTATAAGTAGGCCAATTTCACAACATTTTTTTTTTCTTCACCACTGTGGCCTCTGCTGGAGAGTCCCACCACGGGATTTTAGGCTCCAACTGATCTTTGTATTTCTCCCAAACTTTAAGAAGTGATCTCCTTATAATATGATTTGAGAAATCTCTGTGTATTTTTGCCTTTCCATAAATTCAATAAGCGTGCCAAGCCCAACGATTCTTATGTCCCTCCAAATCCAATAAACCTATATCTTGCAAATTAGCGGTGCTCTAATTAAACTGCTTTCTTCATTACAAGAATCTAAATACTTCCCCCCTCTTGATTCACTTATGCAAAATGAGTCGTTAAATTTGACCTAATCTTTTCCCACATTCCAAGTATATATATGGTTTATCCCATGTGAGTTCTTTGATGAGAAGTAAGCTTAGATCCCTGTGCAAATCTCTTTCCACACTCCAAACATTTATATGGTTTCTCCCGTGTGAGTTTTCTTATGAGAAGTAAGGTTAGCACTGTGAGCAAATCTCTTTCCACACTCCAAACATTTATATGGTTTCTCCCCTGTATGAACTCTTTGATGAGATCTAAGGCTTGAGCTGTGACTGAAGTTCTTTCCACACTCAAAACAGGAATATGGTTTCTCCCCTGTGTGAATTCTCTGATGATATGTAAGGCTTGAGCTTTGAGTGAAGCTCTTTCCACACTCAAAACATGCATACAGTTTTTCACCTCTGTGAATTTTTTGATGTATATGAAGGCTTGTAGCCTGGCTGAAGCTCTTTCCACACTCAAAGCACTTATATGGCTTCTCTCCTGTATGGATTTTGCGATGGCTAACAAGGTATGTGCAATCACTAAAGCTCTTTCCACATGTCACACATATATATGGTTTTTCCCCTGTATGGATTCGCTCATGCACAGTACGGTGTGAACTCTGACTGAAGCTCTTCCCACACTCAAAGCATTTATACGGCTTCTCACCAGTGTGAGTTCTCTTATGTGAACTAAGGTGTGAACTCTGACTGAAGCACTTTCCACATTCCAAGCATTTATATGGTTTGTCCCCTGTGTGGGTTCTCTTATGTGAAGTAAGGGTAGCACTGTGAGCAAAGCTCCTTCCGCACTCTGTACATTTATAAGATTTCTCTCCTGTGTGAATTCTTTGGTGCGATATAAGACTTGAGCTGTGAGTGAAGCTCATTTCGCACTCCAAACATTTATACGGCTTCTCCCCTGTGTGGGTTTTTTGATGCGAAGCAACGCTTGAGCTGTGACGGAAGGTCTTTCCACAGTCAAAACAGGTATACGGTTTCTCCCCTGTGTGAAGTTTTTGATGTGATTTAAGGCATCTGCTGCGACTGAAGCTCTTTCCACACTCAGAGCACCTATGTGGTTTCTCCCTGCTGTGGACTTTCTGATGTCTTGTAAGGTTTGAGTGGCGCTTGAAACTCTTTCCACATTCTAGGCATTGGTATGATTCCTGTCCTGCGTGAATTCTTTGATGTGATTTTAGGCCTGAGCTGTCACTGAAGCTCTTTCCACACACCAAGCATTTACACAGTGTCTCCTCTGAGTGGATTCTGCAGTGTGGGCTGAGGCTCGATTTACCTTTGAACGTTTTTGCCACACGAAGGGCTATCATTTGTTCTCTTCGCTTCATGCTTATTTCTTTCTGATGAGCCCCGAGAACCATTATTGCCCTGGTCATCACCTGCTAAAATTAAGGGAAAACAGCAAACATTAAAAACTTCCCAATACAGGGCTGCCTTCGGACGTCTTCTAAAAGCTACGTAGTTCTTTATCTCCTTGACATCTGAAGGGAGGGTGTTCCACAGGGCTGGTTCCACTACTTCACTTCTTACTGTGACGAAACCAGCAGAAGACCCTCAGAGTTGGACCTCATTGTCCGGGCAGAACAAAGGAGGTGGAGATGCTCATTCAGGTCTACAGGGCCGAGGCCGTTTAGAGCTTTAAAGGTCAGCACCAAGACTTTGAATTGTGCTTGGAAACATACTCTGAGCCGATGTAGATCCTTTAAGACCAGTGTTATATGCTCCTGGCAACTGCTCCCAGTCACCAGTTGAGCTGCTGCTTTCTGGGTTAATTGTAGTTTCCGAGTCACCTTCAAAGGCAGCCCCACCTAGAGCGCATTGTAGCAATCCAAGCGGGAGATAACCATAGCATGTAGCACAGTCTGTGTGCAGGTAGGGACTTAGCCTGTGATGGAGCTGGTAGACAACAGCCCCAAAACTCTGACTATGCCCATGTCACCATTAAAAAACATTCATGTCCTTTCTTTCTACCTTTTATCTCTGCTAGCCCGGAGCTCTGGCCTTGCAGCTTTCCTCGTTTTCTTGCCAGGGGAGCTTCCTCAATCCCAACATTTCCCCAGGTCCCCATCTCCATTCCCTGGAACTCACTAGATCTCTCTGAGGGTCCTGGGAGAGAACAGTCAGAGGTGGTGGGAGACAGCCTGACCAGGTCAACTGTCCATCTTCCTCCTTCCATCCTTGCTAGGTTTGCAGATAGATAGATAGATAGATAGATAGATAGATAGATAGATAGATAGATATTTTTTTATTTATACTCCACCCTTCCTGGTTCAGAAAACCGGTCTCAATGCAGCTAACAACAAATTTAAAACACTTAATTGATGCAACAAAAAACAGCATGGGGAGCCCTGCAGGAGTTCCCCCCAGGGCTCCCCACGCTGCGGATAGCAGAATGCCACCCGGGGGGCGGAGTGCCCTGAAGCAGAGCGCCCCTCGCGCCGGGCAGACATCGGCCAGCCCCACAAGCTCAGGGGACAGCAGGGAGGCGCAGCACCACCATCCCACTGTTCCTCGACCATGTTCGGTTTCCCCGACCTGCTTTTGCGGGGGAAATAAAGGAAAAGATATTTTCCTTTATTTCCCCCCCAAAAAACTAGGTGCGTCCTATGGGACGGAGCGTCCTATGGGACGAAAAATACGGTACTTCTGCTGACTCACGTGCTCCGACATTTTCTTAGACTGACATTTCCTGGTTTGAGGAACGGAAATGATTTGCATAAGACTGACATAGACGGACATAGATTGAGAAGGGGGTCAAAAATCGCAGAGAGGGAGTGACTCAAACAGCGACATCAGCTGGTGAATAAAAATTTTGCACTCTTTTGAAAAAGACGTTCCTCTAATAAGACTTATAAGAGCAATTACAGGGATTTTTGCAAGATCTGCAACTAGTGAAGATCCCAAAGTGCTGCATCATAATCATAAGGTTTCATCAGCTGACCTGCACTGACAGAAAGTCTCAGGTGCCAAGGAACAATCAGCGGTGCACTTTCGGGATCCTGATACATATCCTTTGCAGTCACATCCTGGCCCCTGACCTCTGATATGTAGGGCAGCAGAACACGGTTTGAGGAAAATGGCTTCGTGAGCTAGAGAGGGACTGCTGCCGTGACCCACAAGTTTCTCACTGCTGACCTGGCAGCTTGGCTGCTGCAAACTGGGGGGAAATCTGTCTCCATACTGAGATGAAGCCCATTCAGTCCCTCATCTGGCAATTGCTGCAGCTATACCAGTGAGTGTCGGAAGATTCAGGACCCAACACAACATTATACTCTGAAAAAGAATTTTCTTCACACCACCATTCATGGGCATAGCCAAGGAGAGGTGGGGGGCAGCCCCCCAGATCAAGTAAAGCATTAGCAATACTTAACTAACTGGCCAATCATGCCAGTGCTGCCCCCCTAACAAAAGGCCTGCCCCCCCCACCAAAAATCTTGCGCCCATGCCACCACTGAAAAACATTCCTTTCCTTTTCTACCTTTCATCTCTCACAGCCCAGAACTCTGGCCCTCCTCCTTTTCTCGCCAGGGGGGCTTCCTCACTCCCAACATCTCCCCGGGTCCCCATCACCATTCCCTGCCACTCACCAGATCTCTCTGAGGGTCCTGGGAGAGAACTGTCAGAGGTGGTGGGAGACAGCCTGACCAGGTCAACCGTCCATCTTCCGGCTTCCATCCTCGCTAGATCTGCAGGAGAATAAATACTACTACTACTACTACTACTACTACTAATAATAATAATAATAATAATAATAATAATTTTTGTATCCTGCCCTCTCCGGCCGAGGCAGGGCCCAGAGTGGCTAGCATCATAAAAACAACACAATATGCATAAAAACAGACATCAATTAATTAAAATACATCTTAAAATTAATTCAGACAAGTTAAAATCTAAGCAGTTGGCAATTATCAGGTTGGAATTGAGAGTGTTTAATACTTGCCAGGACCAACTGTTTCCACTGATCATACAAGGACCTGTGAGCAGGTTGGGGGCCTCCTTCGGGCTTGTTTTATACAAAGGAAAGTAAGTCAAACTGCATCCTGCCCAAAGGCCTGGCGGAACAGCTCCGTCTTGCAGGCCCTGCGGAAAGATGTCCAATCCCGCAGGGCCCTGGTCTCTTGTGGGAGAGCGGTCCACCAGGCCGGGGCCACGGCTGAAAAGGCCCTGGCTCTAGTCAAGGCCAGTCTAATTTCCCTGGGGCCCGGGATCTTCAAGGTGTTGTTATTAGCAGAAAGAGGGTCAAAGAGGATCAGCCTCTTTCATCCTTCCTGAGGAGCTCAGAAGCCTAAAGAAGCTGCAGGTTCCTTGGGAAGGAGGGAGGGAGGGAGGGAGGAGTAAAAGGAGCCTCAGAGAAGCTGCAGGGATTCCTCTGCCCTAGATATTCTCCAGCCCCTGCAGAAGCCCAAATGGGGCATATATTACAAATTTATATCCCCCAATCTGGTGGGCTTCTCACAGCCACCCAGTGCGGCTAAGAGCATATATAAAGACAGAACAAAACATCAACCATAAAAAACAGAAATATCCTATACATGCAACAAACAAACCAATAATAAGAACAAACCAATAATAATAATAACAACATGTTTACAGCTATACCCAAATTAAAATAACCACCGACCCCAACTAAACAATTAACCAACACCAACCCGACAAAAACAAAACAGAGGAACCAAAATCATAACCGTTTAAGGCATTTTAGCCAGTTGCCCCAACCCAAGAGATGTTCCAGCAATGTCCCAGTGGCCTCCCAGGAGCCTCTTTTGGCTGTTCAAGGTGAGCCTGGGCTCCGCCCCCCAGGCCAGGTGGAATGGGCTTTGCACCCAGGCCTCATGGCATGGGGGGCACAGTAGTGACCTGAAAGTAGATCCCATTGAACGCAGTGGTTTTTATATCTATATACGGCTCCTCTGCCTATTCCTCCTCTTCTGGCAACATATTGGTGCATGCTCCAGGGGATAGACTTTGGAGAAGACCACAAATCCAGCTTCTTTGGAACTATATTGCAGGACTCAGAAGTTTAAACAAGCTGCAGGTTTTTATGGGTGAGGGAGAAGCAAAGGCTGCCTCAGAGCTACTCCAGGGATTTTCCTCCATGGATATATTGGGAGGGGAAGCCTCCCAATATATTGGGGGCCCAATACACAGTTTCCACAGCAAAACCTCCCCCCTTTATCTTATTCCCTGCTTCCACTCTCCATCCCTCCAAGTCCCTATCTCCACTTCCTAGGAACTCACCAGATGTCTCTGAGGGTCCTGGGAGGCAACGCTCAGAGGTTGCTTGGAGGGATGCAGGAGACAGCCTGAGCAGGTCAACCGTCCATCTTCCTCCTTCCATCCTCGCTTGGACTGAAGAGCTCAGAAGTTCCTGAAGAAGCAAAGAGAGCCTCAGAGGCCCTGCAGTCAGTTTCCTGCCCAAGACATTTTCCTGGTGATTGTGAAGCCATGCATGAAAAGTGGAGTCATGCCTGAAAGAGGATCTTCTTCCCACCACCATTAAAAACATTTATTTCCTTTCCCCCACCCCCACTTTAGGGGAAGGGGCTGTAGTTCGAGGGCAGCGCATCTCTTCCGCAGGCAGGAAGCCCCAGATTCAGTCCCCAGGAAGGGCTGAGAAACCACGTCTGAAAACCCCGAAGAGCAATTGCTGCCGGTCCGTGTGGACAATAGTAGCCCAGGTGGAGCAAGGGTATGACTGTGTAGGCAGCTGACTGCGCTTGGAGCCCCCAGTTCTGCTGCAGCAGTTGCTGGTGGTGAGAAACTGATGGCATTTTATGGCCAGTGGTTCTCCTCTTCCCTTCCTTAAAGTCTTCCCTCCTCCATCTCTCCCAACACCTTGGTTCCTTCCTAGGGCTGGTCTGCTATACAGAGAGACTGCGCCCTCCTTGGGGGCTTTCCTCCTGAACACCCCCCCCCCGACAGGGAAGGCATCGAAGATAAAAGAGCCCATGCCGTTGTAGAGCTGAAATGAGTTTCCAGCTGACCCTGGCCCCCTCCCCCTCTTTCCCCAAAACATGAATGTCTCCCTTCTCCCCTTCCCAGAGCCATCCTGCCTCCTTTCCTTTTAGGGAGGGGGGTTTCTAGCCCACCCTAAAACTGCCTCTTCCCCCCCCCTGCTCTCCTCCTGGGGCGCCCCTGCACCCCTTAAAGCCTTTTGCACTCATCGCAGCTCTTGGGGGGCTG